CCTGGCTTGCTAACCTGAGAGCATGATATAGAAAGACCTCAACCCAGCTATTCCATATAGCAACCAACAAAGTCATCATAGCCAGAATGATGGACAACATTCGGAACGGACAGCCACCCTAAGAAGAAGACCCTGTATATGTAAAGCAATTCATAGAAGATTGGAGGACAAGAAAAGAAGCGAAACAATGATAAACACAACGAACGCATGTATTCTGTTATTTTAATGTGAAAACTGCATGTAATTATACTGGATAATAAATAAGATTCCTATGAATTCAGGACACCTTTATGATATTTACTGAATATTTCGACTAGGTAATTATTGAACAACCTTGTACTTCTGGGTAAACTCGTCTAAAAATACTGGCTAAAAATAGTTGAATCAAAAATGTACATACATTATTAAAATTGGAACAAGCCAGTAAATTATCATTTATTGAAATATCATTTACATATTAAATACTTCGCTAAAAATAAATTTCACAAATATATATGTGAAAGAAAATATGATTTTTATGGTATCTTTTCAAATAAATATAAAGCGTTTAATATCTTACAAAACTCAATACTGCCTTTTGGCCTGTAAATGTTTCTGCTACAATAAGAAACCTTTTGTTAGTCATTGGCAACGAAACGTTGACCTCTAAATTGAGAACAGTCATTTTATCTCTGGTTTGAGATAAAATTTGAAAGTCGTGCGTCTTCAATAAGTAATTAATGAGAGAGAGACTTTCAAATTGAAAGATTGAAATCTCAACAATGTTTAAATGTTCGACAATTATTTACAAAAAAATACTAAAAAGGAAAATAAGTCTGATAAAAGTACATTATTCAAAACCATATAAAAGAAATAATTGATGGTAAGCAATAACTATAAATTTTGTGATAGAAAAAAATTTATTTAAAAATATTTGTAAGGTTCCCTGTATTTATTTTGATTTTGAACTTTATAAACATGTACATATATTTATAAAGGTCACCATAAAACAAATTATACGAAAACATTTCAGAGGATATACAAAATCACATTACATGTTAATAAGTGAGTTTAACGCAAAAATTGTAACTCTATTGACGTCACATGTTTGTTATTTTTCTTTAAATAATTATTTTAGTTCAATTTCTGTTGATTTTATTCATCTATTAATTTTATCTTTTATTTTACTATTTTTATTTTAAAAATAGTTGGCGGTCAGTTACGAGCTTTTGACAGCTATTATAAATACGAGCCTCTTCATATATCAGTTGGCCGACCTATGGAATTTGCAGCTTAAGTCGATTACCATAAACAAATTAAACTCTGCATGTTTTTATAAGTTCCCACATTAATTAATATATCATTTTTATTAATATTTATTAAAAACATTACCCTTATGGTTTTTATTTATTTTCAACAATAAAAAAATTCACTAAACCCCGGCTATGCCTTCACTTATGTCAACATACGGTGTTTTTTTTTCATAATTACGTTGTAGCATGTTGAAAATTCGCTAACTATCAAAATATTCAAGAATATAAAATTTATCTAGTACGCCCCTGCCAAGTGTAAATATTTCCGAAATTCTCTGTTATGACGTAAAACAAAAAAAATCCAAATTCCAGTCATAACTGCGACTTTAAATATGGTTATATTTATTTGTATTAGTTAGTTTTGAGATTTTAAAATGGGAACGATACGAGGTCAAATAGTGTGTTTGACAGGAATTTTGGGTTGGCCCATTTGCAAGGTTAGAGAAGCCGGCCGGTAGGATCGGGGTCGAATGAATTCAAGTTTTTAGGTTTGAAAGGGTAACGAGAGTGGGCAGACGTTGGTATGTAGTTTGAAGAAGCCGGCAAAATTTGTTGAAAATAGTGAATTATACTCTACGTAATGTGTCAGTTTTGAAAGAGTAATCACTATTCCTATGTTTCTAAGAGATTTGTGTCGTTTACAACAATTTTGAAAGATAACCACATGTTGCCATTGTGTTCAGTTTTACCTATTCCTGTTTTTTAAGAAGCTCAGTCCAAAGTTTGTGTTCCAGTGTCCCAACTTTCAACCTCAAGTTTGTATTTGTCCTAAGAAGCCGTCTCAGAGTATCTTTCACATTATGGAGATGAATTTGTTCCAGTGGCAGAGAGTTTAAATCCAGTTCCCAACCTCAGAAATTTAAAGTTATAGTAATTTAGTGAAATCCAGGTAACCTTTTTGTTTGAAGTTTTAAAGTAAAGATAGACATTTTTTTCTAATAATAATAATTGCTTTCATAACAATTTAAATTGTAATAATTAAAATTATATTTATATGTCTTAGGACGTGGCATTAGTTGTCATTTTAATTGTTCTGTTTTAAAATTCAATATTGGCATCTGACAGCTAGTTTTATTTTTTTGACATTAGTTGGTTTTGTTTTTTAGAAAAAGATTAAGCTCTATGAATAGTCTCATTTAAAAGATATTTCTTTATTTGTATGATTTATTTGTGCCACAGATTATAGCCCAGTAAAATTTGTAAGTATTGTAGTATCTCCCACTTGTAAACGGATATGGTAAACGGATAGGACATCGTAAGTCTGTTTTTGATACTTTTGTATTATCTATATTTGAAATTGTTTGTGAAGAGACAGTAATAAATATTTGATATTTTGTCCTAAACTATTTTATTTATTTATTTATTTTTCTCCTGTGTTTTTAGGAAAGAAGAGCCTTTTTTCTTTCATCCAGCAGGAAGTTTCCTCGAAACAGCGTACATTTTAAATAACTAGAGGTCCTTCTTGTTGTTTTGTTGTCCATTTGTCCAGGAAATTCATGTAAGTACTCTTTTAATTACTATTTATAACTGGGAATAAGCCACAATTAAAGATAAAAATACGTTTATTGACGTTTTAATTTCCAATTCGGAAATCGTTCTCAAAATACAAACAGTAAATTAAACAAAATTTGTTTAATTTACTGTTTGTATTTTGAGAACGATTTCCGAATTGGAAATTGAAACGTCAATAAACGTATTTTTATCTTTAATTGTGGCTTATTCCCAGTTATAAATAGTAATTAATTTACAATGCCACAAGAAAATAGCTTCAGAACAATATTAAGTACTCTTTTGTTTAATTTTTTTGTAGTTGCCTCAATCCAACCTCCTTGCCATTCGCTTATCCATGACCCCAGCTCTCCAAATAAACCCTGAGCGCCGTTCGCAAAGTTTTGTTTATTTTGCTTGCCCTATCTCCACCCCCAGTAATTTCTGTCCCCAATTTTCAACCCTCCCTAGTAATACCCTATGTGGTAGGCAAAATATTTCATTACAACGTTAAATTCGGAGACTATGGACAAATGACATCAAAACAAAATATTCTCAGTTAATGTCAAATGTATTTTATAGTATTATAAAGCTTTTTGTCGTTTGTGCATTGTCCAATGGGTCGAGGTAAACTTATCGACGAGAAAATTTGTTCAATCATTATAAAATTTGTTAATTCTGGAAAATCCAATTCGATAATGGCTAATATGTTGCAATTACCACGCTATAGTGTAAGAAATATAGTCAGAAGATACAAAACTACAGGTTCGGTCGTCAAAAAAACAAAGAAATGTACGAAAAAGTAAAATAACCGAGCAGATCGAAGAGCAATAAGACGCATTATAGTGAAAAATCGACGAGCAAATTATTTGGAGTTAAGCGTTGTATGGAGTGACGTTATTGGAAGACACGTTTCTAGATCAACATGTCACCGAGAGGCCCACAAATTAGAATTTGGTACTTACAAAGTAAGTTGTATAGTTGAAAAATTAGTACTAATTGTTTTTAATAAATTTCGTTTTATTTGAGGCTAAGGAAAAGCCACTTTTAACAGTACAACAAAAGAAAAATAGACTAAGATGGTCAAAAAAATATAACAATTGGACTTAGTCGCAATACAATGGAGTGATGAGTCCAGATTTGAAGTGTGTGTTGGAGACAGCTGGAGTCTCGTCATTCGCAGGAAAAATGAAGCTTTCCATCCCGACTGTCTGAAGAGAAAAGTAAAATTTCCCGCATCTGTCATGATCTGGAGCAGAATGTCGTCTAAAGGTGTGGAAAAGTTACATTTTATCGGTGGGATTGTAAACACGGACAAATATTTTAACCGATCAAGGAACACCTTTTAACATCAGCGGAAGATTTTGTCTTCAAACAGGATTGAAGACCATGGCATACCACTTCTGGAATGGGTTTCTAACAGTCCCGATTTGTCCCCGATAGAGACTTTTTGGCGCGAAATGAAAAAAGCTTTGAGAAAACATCCTGCCAGTTCCGTCAACGAATTGAAGGAAAAATTGCAAGAAATATAGGATTCGTTTACATTAGACTTTTGTAAGAACTTGGTAAAAACTATCCCCGAAGAATTGTGGATGTCATTAAAAATAAAGGGGATGTAACTCAGTGGTAAACTTTCACATTTTCTTTTGCTAATATTACATATTCTATGCGTTTTCTTTTAAATTTATTATTATTCTGTATAATAAATAGTTTTCATTTTATTAGGTTATAAAATATTTTCCATAATTAGGAAATTCAAAAATGTTGTTTGATGCATTAAAACTTTTATTTTTGTTCTCTAAAACTTAATTTTCTTATCAATCTAACGTCGAGCCAACTGATATGGAAAGGGGCTTGTAAAAAAACACCAATTAGTGTAAATGATTTAAATTGATTTTAAAGTTTTCCAAAAGTTTCGTAAGAATGGTAGATTACTACGAAATAAATTTGGATAATGTTTTCGATAACTTTTATCAGTAAAAGAGTTATCACCAATCTGAAACATTTAGTATTGGTTTCAAGTTTTGTTTAGTGTATTAAACAGTAAAAATGATAATGTCTATTATATTAATAAATGATAAGGCAACAAGACGTGTGGACAAACAAAAATGTAATTTAATCTATTCTGTTGCTATAAATATTTGCTTTTCTTTATCCATTTCATATCAATTATATTTGAAGAGTAGTTTTTTATAAAATGTGAAATTTGTAGATAATTACCTTGTTAGACCTTCCGAAAATAATCCAGGAAATGCCCAATACAAAAATCCCACGAAAATAGTCAACTCCAACATAGTTTCCATAGTCCAAGCAACGAAAACACTATTCAAATACACCATTTTCCCAAATCGTTCACAGAGTCACTATAAATCTTAACTCGCGTAATAATAAAACACCAAAATTAAATGGAAAATCGTATGTACCCATGTATATTTTGAAACAGACCAACCGCTCCTTGTTTACTCTGCGTGAATGCTGTCATGCATCTGTCAGCGGCCTACCTGGCGTCGCACACTCTGTTTTTAAATGTAAATGTCAATGGCATCCCCCAAATACTCAGAACCGAACTCCGAAGGCAACTATATAGTAAATTTATTGGCGAGCAACTAAAAGGAGCACTACAGTTAACGCATTGGTAGGCAGTCAGATGTTTTAGATGTAAGGGATCCCTAGTTATTTTGCCACCACACTTTTTAGCACGGTCATTGGAGATTCTTGCGGAAAAATAGTGTCGGTAATAAAAAATACTAATTTTTTACTGGATTTGTTGGCATTATCTATGATAAAAAGGATTGAATTTAATTCTTTATTTATGTTAGATATAAAGTCATTGTATTTACATATGTCAAACAAATAATTATAATATATTAAGTAGCTCTAAACTAAAATCGAACAACATAAACGACCCCGGTACTTTTCCTATGTACCTAAAAGGGGTTTCAGTTAAATTGGCTGAAACTTTGTATAGATGCAGCTTTTGATCTACTGATTAAAAGTTTTTATTGCCCCAAAACTCAGTTTTTGAAAACATTTCTTAATGTTTTCCTGACAATAAAGATTATTGCCATTCAGATCCCATGTTTGTGTCTATTGAGATTCAGATGCCGTATATTGAATGTGGAGGGTGCCGGTTTACAACATCCCTTCCACGGAGAGGCTTGTATGCAACAGTGTCTCTTTCAGCGGCTTTGTTCTTGCTGCAAGTCCAATTAGTCCGCTAGCCTTCGACAGCTCAGTAGAGAAACTAAAATGGACTTTCAAAGTTGCGTTTATCTGGCCTGTTGAATTGATATAGTGAAATAAAACAATTACTTGTTTAGAAAGAAACTGTAATTGAAAAAAGAAAGGGCACGAAATAGAGCTTATAAAATTTGAGTGTGTAACTTATCGTAGGAACTTAATTTGAATATTACAATTTGCGAACGAAAGCGAAAACACCATAACACTTATTCACATATTACGGCTTCCCGGTCAATTGCGTAAACTGCAACGTGGAGAATCCTCTCCGAACTTTTGAAATATAGATGTTAGCCCTACGAAAGTCGCTAAATCACTGTAGGTGTCGACTGGTCGCCTCCCTCGCCCCGCCGGAATATTTTTTTGTTTATGCATTTTGAAAAGCCGGTCTATCGTCACTTAGGCGCTGTGGGCGGGGATTAACATTCTCAGAAACAAGGTCTAGGTAGACTGGGTTTATTTAGGTAACCGGCGCGAAAATAGAATTATTTGATACAAAATAGAATTATTGGTTTGGAGATATAGTTCTCCAACAGAATGTGTTATACGGTACGTCTCCTAATTCATTATGTGAAAAATATATTAAAAACCAATAACATGCCCATGCAATGGGACATTTTTAAGGGGTCATTTAACTCACCATGAAGTACATATAAATCAATACTACAATATATAATAACAAGTTTACTATGCCGTAAATTTTTATCGGTAGAGGTGACTACACAGGCAAGATAAACTTACCACTCAAGCGGGAAGGCATTTTGGTCAAACATATTTGTACAGCATTTATAACTTAGGTAGATGATACAAAAATAATGAACTGCGACCTAATACCATACAAAAATATTGGTACCAGTAGCAGGGACAATCTTTGATTTTACACAAAAACATTTCCACAAAAACTAACACTTTGTGTAAATGTTTTTAATGTATATATCATTCATTGACGTACTGGATAGCCAATATGTTTGAGGAAATAAGATGTTCTGAGAGCAAAAGTACTTGGGCAATATTTGATAAAAAACTGTCTTCGATATCTGTTTTTTATTTGATTAACTAAGAATGGTAAGGACGCATATGATAATACTACAAACCTTAGACAAGGAAAGAGAGGGGAAGCGTAATTGTATGGCACCAAAAGCGTTGCCAGATCATATTTTATTTCTTCAGTAAATTGAGAATAATCGATATATATCAATAGATTTTTTCAAAATTTATAATTGAACATTGATATAATGATCACTTTTTGAACACAATTTTATCATTACATATTTTTCAGTAGATCGATATAGTGTTTTAGTAAATCAGTAAATTAAAGTTGAAAGCAATAGATCTAATGAAAAATCAGTAGACCTGGTAACTCTGTGAGAGGTAGTAATGGGCAACGTACAGGCACCAAATTACACAAATACACAAAATACACACTTTGCGAAGATTTATTAAATAACCGTTACCTGTCCTCCCTCTTTCCTTGCCTGAAATACAAACTCTCAACACGCAAGACAAAGGCATCTAAAAAGGAAATATGATGATTCTTTTCTTTAATTTGAATCAAAAACCATTGATGCACACAGGCATTTAAGTCGTTTCAAGAAGTCATTCATAGATTCACACTTGTCCCCAGAAAAAGATAATCCAAACTTATGCACTGGAAAAAACTTTTGACTAGGAAAGGTTTTACTAATTCTAGGAATAGGTGAAGACTAAGCTAAAGGTACCTCACTATCAGCTTTCTAAACCAAAATTAATGCTAAGTAAACCTGTAAAATACGTGATATCCTAGATAAGAGCCTTATGTAACTTAAGATGTTAATACTTTTAAGGTGTAACACCTTGTGAAAAGAAATTTTTACAGGAACGAGAAAATAGAGAAACCCAAGTCTGTGTCATTGGCTAAAAAATGGCCGATTAAGTTGACTTGAATAAAAAAAATAGTAAGGAATAAATTTGAAAAGAAATATATAACATTGTTATAAAATACAGACCACTAAAGAAATATTTCCTGATGATCATTTTAAACGGATGGAATTCTGTGTGATGAAGAAATCCATCACAAGAAGCATAATGAATCTGCTGTACATTATTGACCTCAGGAAAATGAGCATTTTACTTTATCTGTGTGTAAGCAGTATCCACAAAAATTGAATTTTTGGATCTTTGTTAGATATATTATTGATCTTTTTTCATCGAAGGTAATCCAAACGAAGTAAAATATCTTGAATTACTTCGAAACCAAATTATTCTTGCCCTTCAACATCTTACCTTCCCTAGTTTTTTTATTTTTGGGGGATACTAAAGACCAATTTGTGTTGACATGAATTCGAGTTAGGCGATACCTTGAAGTAACTGAGTCAAAATATAGTCGATCTTAGCCAAAACATATCAGAAAATAAATAACGCCATGAGAAAGGCGTTGTATAATAGATTTGGTTTCTGTTTGGCACAAGGTGGCGGTTTGTTTGAACATTTAATTCGGTAAGAATTTTATTTGGTTTCTAATTGTTTTGAATTATTTGTAATGTAAGTAGTAGTTTTTGAATTAATTTTTATTTTATTTCATTCTTATAGAACTAGTTTTAGTTACTTAGTTACTATGTCTTATAATAAAGTTTCATTACTTATCTACTAAAAATATATACTACTTCAAAGCCCAGTTTTGCCTTGTATTACAATTCGGGCAAATTTTCGTTTGGATAAAAACTAGAAATTTTTTTTTAAAAAATTTTATTTTCACGATACAATTTTTAATTTTTTAACATCCGAGATTTACTTAAATGAAACTTCCATCGACAATATATCGGTAGCCTAACGTATTTGTACAACAACTGGCCTAAGGAGAATCATGAACGAAAATGAGTTCTCTGTTCGCCGGTTCTTCTGTCTTTGTTAACAATTATAGTTTTTTGCAGATCCGTCTCGAAAAATTCACAAACGACTTTAAAAAATAAATACGTAACACATCTTAAGTGAACCAAAAAGAGAACGGTGTAAAATAAATAGTATAACTCAAATAAATGCAAAATAATTCAATAACCAATACCACGAGTGAAAGAAATGTTTATAATTAGTATTAGTCTATTTCTTAGTGACATGTGTTTCACTGGATATTTTATATAGGACTGAACCAGAATTACGCTTGAACAAGTAGGATAAGTAAGATAAAGTTATTTTATTAATGAAATAAAATTTGTTATCGTACTGTTTGGAATGGTTAACATATTGTACTTTTAATTTTGTGAAAATCACATGCACTAAAAATGCCAAGACGTGTTTTAATGTAGATATTTTAATTTTTACCCTACATAAATACTTTATAGAGGAAAAAAACAATGGTAGTGGTCCTTTAAAACATTATTTTTAAAATTAATTTTTAAAATTTTTAAACACATGCTGTTTAATTATGTAGAAATGTAAAAAAAAGTTGGTAAAACCAATAAGAACCCCCGAATAACCCTTGTGTTAAGGAAAAGTATTCGGGACTTACTTAAATATTTTATGATACAAAAATATGACCTTATTTAGTTTAATTAATATGACCTCTTTAATTAATTATTTATATTAGCTTACTATAATATGGCTTCACTTATACATCTTTTAAATTCTCAAACTCAAATTGGCTGATTCTCTATTGTTAAGTTCTGAGAATTCACTTGTCTTAACTTGTTTTTGGGAAACTATTTATCACCCCAGAACACTTCCGATAAAGTTTTAAAAGTGTCAGTTGATGAAATTATTTGTGTAGAAATTTTAAGATAACAGTTTAAGCTGAATTTATTTCTATATGCGGAGGTCCTGAGAACAAAGAAACCATTAAAGTACATACGTATTTTTTCATACTTTATACATGAAGTACCCGAGAGATGCTCCAGTCCCAGACGCCGCTGTCCATTGGTCTAGATATCGGCCGCATTCAAAAAAGGTAAGTGAATCTCATATATAATTGACAACAAGTTATTCAATCTGCCAATTGTTATTTGAATTACAATTATCTACATTATATCCTCATTATACGTACTGCATTTTCTCGTTATTTTAAATTAAACATCAAGCAAAAGCTACCTGCTTTCGACACTAGTCTAACTGGAGATAAAAAAATACACTCCGTAGACAATTATTTCAAGAAGCAATAAATGCAAAACAGTACAATCAAGTTCTTTATACCGACTCATCTAAAGATGAAAAGAATAAAACATAACCTTAGCTCTACACCGACTACCAACCACTTGTAGTGTTCACACTGCAGAATTATGTGGTATCCTTAAAACTCTTGAAAGGACTTCTCCTAATACGAAATTTCTAGTTATATGCACGGATTCTCTTTCTCAAATTTAGTCCATTTAGTTCAATATATACTCGTTAAATCCGATAGTC